ATATCAATGAGTTAGAGTTTGCTGGATAACCTATACGAGCACATTTGATCGAACCTGTCAGTTACATGCATAAAGCGTGTTTCTTTATTTTGTTACCAATCCTGTACGTTTTGCAAATATTTGTCTTTCATCAAACAAGATATTTAAGAGAAAGCCATGACAAAACACATTTCCATACACCAGTTTGTATAAAACATCTGGGCAAAGTACAGTATCTTTATACCCATAAGCAGCTCATCTGTATGGATGTAGTTATGTCTGTGTGCATATCTGTATGTTTGTATGTCTGTATGTATGTCTGTCTGTATGTCTGTTCAGAGAAAGCTGTCTGAAACCGCTCTACCAATTTCAATGATTGAGGTGTCATTTGAAAGCTCATGATATGTCGTTTATGTGAACGAGACTGAAATTCTGAAAAGTAAAATTGATCTTTCACAGGACACGGTCATTTGTTTCGTTTGACTTAATAGCCACGTATTATTATTATTACTCGTGCTGCATATCGGATCTACCATTTACAAATCCATGCCGTTGCCAATGTTTCTAAATAATAAAATAAATAAGGAATATTCTTTTGATTCTATTTTGCAACTACTAGATTTGCCGCATGAGAAAAATATATATTCTGCCAGACATTGTGTTATATTTTCTGCTTTATTATTATAAATGTTATTGATACATCGTATGACTATGATTAACGTAACTCATCAAATCAAATGTATCAATTTGCTGAGGTAAATCAACTCCCTTAAAGTAACGTATTACTCTACTGTTAAACATCAATGGCCTTCCCACCAGTTACATGTAATCAATTATACATAATACATCATCATATTCAACACAACTCTAAACGCTGCGTAAACGATAATCAATGGACATTTGTGCAAAAGAGCTGTGCATGTATGTTGAACTTCTTTCACATCGTACGGAGCCAACCGTGCTAATCGGAGCTTTTTAGCTCATTGGATTCCTCCAGTATAAGTAAAAGATTCTGATATTATTATAAAAAACTAAAGCCTCTACACATTCGTCAATAATACTGCTGTATAATGGTCCTTCAGAAGGGTCATTAATACATATTTCAGGGTACGTATTTTTCACACTGCCTAAAGAGACAAACAATTCTTACTTTGACCCTAAATATTGTATGGCTGAGGTCACATTATTATTGTTATTACTAATCTCAAAAAGCATATTTCTGAAAACACTGCATGCGCTACAAAGAAGGGCCATTGCTCGAAACGTTGTCTGTTATATATTTATATTTCCCTTTAAGGCCACAGTGTTATTGACGAATTTGTTGATTTATTTTGTACCCGTGCACCACTCTTAATGCAGCATCATCAAACAGCAAGTTATTCCATACGGATTAAATTATATGGACAACGGCATGTATGTGTCAATGAACAGAATACACCGGGAATTATTTTAGACTAAATGTGTAATTCCAGACTGATTGAGCAGCAGAAGGCAAACAGCGACGCTCATAAAAGAAACACAGGGAATCGAATCACCTTGTCCGAGGTGTCCGACCAGCTTGGAAGAGAAGGCGAAACACGCTCTCGAACTCAATTCAGCGGAGGCCCCTCCACCAGCAGCGGCGTGAGCAAGCTACGGCGGGCCTGCACCATTACCTTTTAAATCCCATCGGCCGACAAGGGAGCCTACACTTGTCACTTTCACAGAGACAGGTGTTTCGAATGGGGGGGGGGGGAGGAGGGGCCAGGTATTTCATAATTCGACGTGGATTTTTTTACAAATAGGCGGGAAAGTCACACGCACGCGTGGATGGTGTCAACTTTTCTCCTTTCAGATATTCCGCGCACGCAGACGCGGCTTATCACGTGCGGGCGCCGAGACGCTCGCTGGGGTTCATGCAGGAATCCTGATCGGTTGCCCGCATCGCTCAATTCTTCCCTATGGAAATGCCTGTTGCATAATACATACTGCCCACGTGTATGAAAATACGTATGCGCACGGTATCGAGGCATCTCCCTGGCATGCCATCCCACCTTGAATAGCAAAGGCTGTCCGTTGTAAACCTGGCGCCCTCTTCTGGCTCACAAGTGGAATAGCTTCGGGTCCACATTTTTTTTAGGTCCGACCCCCCCCCCCCCCATTTTGTATGTATCCATGGAAAATAAAATGAACATAACTTTTGAAAATAGCTCTTTTGTTCGTGTGTGTCATTGGCAGTAACTATTTACATATTTGTGGCACATTAAGCATCGATTACGATAACGATATTGCATCTCCTTTTGTCAATACATTGGCGGGGTGGGCGGGGCGATGGGTCGTTTGACCATACTTCACCACGCTGGTCAGTGCGGTTACGACATCGCTCACTCACTGATGGCGACTGTGGCAGGGAATCCAACTCGGCTTGCCGCCGGGTTCGTAGCACTTTGTGTACCACCGCTCGCTCCCCCATTTACTCCTTACGATTCCTATTTTAATTACTTTGGAAGCGAGATTTTTAAGTTAAAACGGCAACACGCCACCGTCAACTGCATTTATAACCACAAATGTGGGACCAGCGATTTGTCATTCAGTAATCACACCGACAGAGAAAGCCTTACAGGCAGAGCCAGACTTATGCATTCAAATAATATTTTGTAATGTGACAATTCCATAAATATGCAAAGCACAACAGAACAATTATACGAACACAGAACTAAACACAGCTGCATGCTGCATTATGCATTTCGGCAGGAATGTTGCATTAGCCTTGGGCAATGAATAATTCTTCTTGTTAAATTAAATTCATAGCGTTTTGGTCCGGCACAAAAGCAGCTAGCCTGTTTCTCATTTACTCGCTTTCATATGAAAAGAAATGTGGGCAAGGAGGACATGCAATCTTTGAGTTTGTAGCCAGAGAGAGAGAGAGCACTGTAATTTATTCTGGCGTGCAGGATAGCCCCCCCCCCCCCCCCACCGTTGCTTCCCCGCGCGCACCCAGAACCAAACGACGGAGGAGACCAGCCTCGCACCAGCTGTCCGTATCGTGGGCCAAAGGCAAATGCCTTCTTTTGGGGGGAGCGGGACGACGACTTTGTGTGATCATGACAGGTGGGGCACGGAGAGAAAACAAAACGGCACCCACGGAGCCGGTGAAACAATGTGAACGAAGAGGAATGAGATGTCAATACGTGCATCGGACGGTGTCAATAAGCGACATGGCCGATCAGAGTGGTGGGGGAGGGGGAGTGGCCGCTGGTAGAACAATACAATTCGTAAATGTTGGGGGCCGTTAACCTCTCTCGTTGTTTTGTTGTTGTTGTTAAAGTCATAATTATTGTTAACGTTTAGTGAGTGGACTCCCAAAGCCGACGCCGCTTAATAAAATAAAACATTAAAAAAAACTCTTACGCACTCCGCGAGAACAATCGCCACGCGTCGGGGGCTTCTAAGCCAACTCAGATGACTCGAACGCGCCGCAGTCCGTCCGAGCCAATGCCGCGAGGCCCACCGCCCTGGATCCATCTCGCAAGACGAACGAGCATAGGAAGGCCCTTCCGATCTGCACCGTTCGATGCGCAACTCCTCCAACGTGAAAACGCGAAGACAACACCTGGCCGTGCCCACAAGCAGCTCTGCAATATCGGGACGCTTACGCTGAAAGGCGGCCCCCGGCTGATTGAATGTGGGGGCACGGCGCATCTGTTAGCCATCGCTTCACGAGCGCATGACTCGGCGAGCGCATCGCTCGCAGAGTCGTGCGCTCTGTACATTTTGATCACGCTCTCCTCTCCTTAGTGCGTCGCTTTTAGAGGAAAAATCAGGATTTAAGACGGATATAAAGGAAAAAACTACACGATGTAGCAACGGCAACAAACAAGCGAAAAACTGACCAAAGCATCGCTGACGGCTGTAAAACAACGGGCGGAAGCCTGGCACCAGTTATGGAAAGAGAGACGTTGTGAAATGCCGACTCCGCGGTACGACTCTGGCTCCAATAGGCCCTCGAATGGCCGGCACTTGTGAACTACACAGCCTCAGGATGGGGACAGTCCGGGGAGGGGGGGGGGGCGTGGTGACTGGGGGATGTCTCGAGCCTCAGAGAAGCCGCTGCGTGCAAGAAGTTAGCGAGCGGCGTGACGGACCAGTGGTGTGGCACGCGAAGCCCGAGGATGAGCGAGGGGGCCTCGGCACCACGGCCGCGGCATGCGGAACAGATTAAGCACGATTCGAACTGCATCTGCCGGCAATCACACCACGTATGGGCCAGGGAGATGGGGCGGGGGGTGGGGTAAATCGAGGCAGGCTCGGAGGCGGCTGTGCAGTGAGGGAGTGAGGATGGAGGAGGAGGAGGGAAAGGCAACGGTGCAGCTTAGTGGCTCCTCCAAACCAGCCTTGATGGGATCTCACATCTGGTGCGTTATTTAATTTGACGCGCTCTGCACAGGGGAAATAAGCCCAGACAGCTGCAGTTTACACCCCATTAAAGCAAATTGTTCTGGGTTTTTTTTTTTGGTGCCAGGGTCGCATAGAGCTTTAAAGAAGCCGCGTATACATTCATCTGGAGAATGCAATAACCCATGAATTTTCTGCAGCAGCATTAGCATTCAACAACATTGTGTGTGTGTGTGCGCCCTCGGTTGTATGCTCCAAGCCTGCAGTAATTATTTTCCAGCAATTATAAAAATTGCTTCAACTTCATACTTTGACCTTTCGAAAACGATTTAATGTGTATATGGCAAACATAAAAGCATATCCGTTATGTTCTCATGTTCTCAAAACACGTACTGGCCAAATGTTTATTTTTACCATCAGCCAAACATGCAGGTCTAATAAAAACATAACCTCATTATGTGGGAACACCAAATTAAAATAAAACATTTGCAGCAATGGGACACTCGCAGTGGCCCTGAAGGAACATTTTTAAACAAAATAAAAACAAAACTCTGCCTCTCTGTAAACCAAAACAAATCAATCTGGGCGCGGATATCGGCTTGTTTGGGCTGGCATGATTGCCATCTTCTGCCTTTGCAAAAAACCCACCCAGTGATGCGGAAATTGCCAAACTGCTCCCATTATGCACGCTGGCCAGATCAGACATCGCGTGCTGCCGCGCCAGGTCACATGAAGTACAGCGGGAGGGGGCGCGTGGTTTCTTTTCTTCTTCTTCGGCTTCCGACAAAATAGCAGCAGCATGTGGGACTCACGGTAGGACACCATCGCCGTGGCATCTGCACGCGCCCTTCCTTCGCGATCTCGCCTCGCGATCTCGCCCTTCCTTCGCGATCTCGCCCTTCCTTCGCGATCTCGCCCTTCCTTCGCGATCTCGCCCTTCCTTCGCGACCTCGCCCTTCCTTCGCGATCCCGCCCTTCCTTCGCGATCTCGCCCTTCCTTCGCGATCCCGCCCTTCCTTCGCGGCCTCGCCCTTCCTTCGCGATCTCGCCCTTCCTTCGCGGCCTCGCCTTTCCTTCCCGGCCTCGCCCTTTCCTTCGCGGCCTCCCCCTCCAGACCAAGCCGTCGAGGCGGCTTGCACCCGGGCATCAGCGGCTAAGGGGCGACGAGGTCCGAATGTCTTCATCCCCAATTGACGCGGTCAGCCGCGCGTCTCGCACGGGGAATTCCCCCGTGTTTGCCCGCAGCGAGAAATTGCTCGACAGATTGGGGGTTATAAAGGGCTCCAAATAAGCAAAAGGTGGGGGGGGGGGCCTTGCGCGAGCCAGGGACAATTAGCGAGGGGCGAGGGGAAACGCGTCCCGAGTTTTGCCAGACTCTCTGCTAATCTCTCGTTCGAGCAGATGTCAAGCACGCGCTCTGCCACTCGAGTCATGCGAGAAATAGCGGCAAATTCTCCCGACGTGGCCCGTGGAAGAGAGCTCATAGATTCAGAGATGTCACTCTGAAATAGCAAAGGGCAGTGGTTGGTAAAAGAAAAAAGTTAAGTTTATTTGTGTGTGTGTGTGATGCTGCAATGGCAGCGGAGTTACAAGCGCAGTTAACAAAGAAAACTCTCAACACATTAATCCCCAAAACTGCCCTAGAGAGGAAAAACAATATATAATGGACATATTTCAGGCAACTTACCGTTCTTCATAGCATTTCTCTGCTATTAAGATAGCCCATCGAGTGAAATGCGATTCCTCTTCAGGGCAGTGTTATTGTCAAAACTACGTGCATTTTACATTCTCATTTATCCAAAGGCAAAGAGACACACACACACCCACCCTGCTGTCGTCTTTAGCAGCACTAAGTTACACAAAATAAATAATAGTAGCCGCGCTCCCACTTCACGGCATTCTGTCCCGAAATCAAAACACTGCAACTGGACATCTGCTTCGAGCATCACACTCGTAGTCCTCAGCCAGCCTGGAGGGTCCCTGCACGGCTGGAGAGGCGACGTGTGTGAAGAATTCCCACAGACATCTGCATGACAGCTGTCGAATGAAGATCTCATCGACGGCGGCCTCACAAACAGTTTCCTCCGCCGTATTACTCTCACTGGGTCTGCTTAATCAATACCGTAAATAGAGTGCTTGTGTTTAGAGTGCGCTCTCCGAAGCTCTGTCAACAACTGGGCTTGTCCAGATGCGGCGTGTGCAGGCAATTATACGTTACCGGCCAGCGTTTCAACGTTCGTGGGGGCCTTTAAGTGCAGCAGCGAGCACAACGCGAGTCTCATTTGCCGATGTCCGTTTACTGATGATCAAAATTAATTCGAGACAAAAAAAATGTTACGGACCCTTTTTTCCCCATCCGCTGTTGGATGACCGTCTCGTCTGTCACGGGGGTTGTTTGACCATACTTCACCACGTTAGTCAATTGGATTGGTAGGTTAAGTAGGGGGGGGGGGGGTAGAGGGCTGGACGACCCCGACAACCAATACAGCACGGGCAGGCCTTCATCCAGCAGTTGATTGACACACGACTATCATTTACGATTACGTATTATTTAGAGATAACCCTGGTATCAGGAATTCATTGTTTACGCTGTATTTCCCACCATATTAAGGTTAGACCCTGCCCCTCAATGCATTAACATATATATATAACATGTATACACGCAATTATATACGCAATAGTGCTTGTATATAGAATCCTTGAGTAATTGTGTTGTTACAGAAATGTAATACATTACTTGACATAATTTTTTTCTGAGCGATTAAAATTGCTGAAATTGTTTAATCTTCGAATATTTGCTTTGTAAACGTATACATTTCAATGGGTCAACGTTCATCCGAAATCCAATCTAATCAGAACAAACACGGTCATATGAAACTCGAACTCACGAGTCTCAAATAATCATTTGTCAAACTTTCATTTAAAAGAGAAGAACACGTGTAAGTTATTATCAGAAAGTCCGGACAAGCGGGGGCCTTCTTTGTGGAATGCACTATTCCTCGCGCGCGAGCTGTTTTCATATCTGCGTGCAGAACATTTCACAGACTTCAAACGACCCAACTGTGGCTTAAACACAACCCACACTGCCCCTTAAAAGGTAACACATGCAGTCTGGTTGCTGCGGTAAGGTTGGATTTAAGCTGCTCCGAAATATAAATATATAAAATTACCAGTTAGCTTTCTTATGGCAGCCCATCTCGGCGTGGCAGCCCAAGCGTGTATAGGATACTAAATTCATTCGAAACAGACGTCCATTTAAACGTGGCCTGATAAATAGCTGGAGATTACAGGCGTGCATTGTGTTTGGAACGGCTGAATCCCATTTGCCTACCAGCGCACACGCGCTGGAAGTGATTAGAGCAATGTGGGACCAATTTATGAAACACAGCCATTATAGCTTTACCTTTGGAACTTCCTGGGCAATCTGCACGTGTTGTGCATTCTGGAGTAAAATGATGTTGTAATCCCATTTCATCTGCTACAGATACTACGAGAAGACACGACTGAAACCACTTCCACACTCCGAGGGGTATCGTTAATAACCGTGAAAAAGAACCCGCAGAGGAATAGGAGGGGTTTTTTCATTTACATGGAAAGCGCAATGATTGGTTTACAACTTTACATTCATACAAAACGCAAGCGTTGCAATTACACACGTGGTGTTTATCTGTGACGAACCGTCCCATTTGGATACATTGTGTAGTTTTTTTAAACATGACGTGTGCTTAAAAGTCGAGAGAGAGAGGCATTTTATTTCAGCTTTGAGATTTAACTTTATGTTTTGCTTAACCACATCATTATGACTTGCACAGATTTTACGGCAAAATGTGTCCTTGACACTTTATATGTGGGAAGCCATAAAAACAAGCCCATACCCACAGAAATTCCGGTGAATAGCCATATAGTATGTTAATATTACAACCCTCCAAAGAAGCGTAGCTCAATTATGTTATATTGCATTACCTTCGCTTATTTAAATATCCTATTTTTTAAATGGGGATCTTATTAAGAGTGTTTAATTTCTTTAAATTTAATATCAGAGAATTGTTTTAGTGTTGTGTGCATAGGAAGCATATTGGTACATTTATTCAATTATTCTTGCTTTCTGATCTTATTTGAGTAATGAAGAGGTTATACAAGCAGAGAGTCTTGTTTTCAGCGAGCTCCAATTACAACCATAAAAATAAAATATCCTGCTTTCAGGTTTCATTTGGAGAACATCACAGCAGCAACAGGCTGTCAAAATGCTTTGCCAAACACAACATTACACCAGGAGAAAAAAAAAGTAAACCCTCTCTCAACTTCAACGAAAACATCATGAGAGGGGAGTCTGTGGTTTCAGGAGTTAAAAAATAACCAAACGGAAATGTACCGCAAATGCTTTCCGTAACACTGAAACAAACGGCCAGGGCAGGAAAGGAGAGGAGGAGGAGGAGGAGGGAGGGAGGGTTGGGTTGGAGTGTGGGGGGTGGAGTTGGGGTGAAGCGAGCCTTGTGGAGAGGGAGGCTGGAAACACGAGTTCCCCGGCTCGTGAATGCCGTTATAGAGTTCACATAATCGCATTCTTGTCATCACAAATTTGTTCCCCAGCTGTCTCAACTCGGAGTTCGCAGGAAGTGAGCAAATCCCGGTGCTTGGAGGAGGAGGAGGAGGAGGAGAAGGAGGTCTGGTGCCGTTGAAGCTCAGCACGTGCGAAAGCCGATCCCTCCGCCGGGCTGCCAGGCACTCGCGGACTTGAAAGGGGGGACCAACATGTGGAAGCTGTAAGGCACCCATAGCCAATGTCAAACTTGCTAGACGGTCAATTTACAGGCCCTTCCGTGGGGAAAACCCGTTATTTCAATTTAAACTTTTTTTCACCTTTCCTACAGGGCCAACAAGTGCTGTCTGGCAGCAATGTGTAACTTTGCAACAGATTTGGGTTCCAGATACGATATGTATAAAAAGCAGCGCAATAATAATTGCAAAATTTAGCAGTTTTTTTTTTCTCTCACAATACTGCCAAAGTCTAATTGCTTGCAGCCCTCTAGCAGCACAGAAAAGATCAATGGGCTTCAGAATGTAATTTCAGCATGAATTTATTGCACACTTGCGTTATGTTTTATATTATACTTGTTGTGCGCAAGCCCACTTTGCAATTTCCTTGCATATAATACAACGGCTGTGAGTTGCTCTGATATGTTTGCTGTGGCTCATTTTCCTCGGGACACAAAATCAATGCTAATTTCCCGTTTCTAAAGCGGACCTCCGTGGCATTTGCCCGGTAAATTTGTTGCAGGTAACGCCATGCAAATCGCCCACCTTACATTAAAGTTAATTAAAGCATGGGCCGTAAAATGTTTGATACGGTGAGTGGGCTACAATCCTTGCAAATGGCCTTCATCTATATTAAATAAAACATAGATAGTAGGGGGACAACACACATTTCAACATATTTGTTGAACGACCTCAATTAGTCGAATGCACTTAAACATATCCAGCCAATTCTCCTTTTTTCTTAGAAATATATTCAGACAAAATGCGTTCATTTGTTTCAAGTTTTCTTCTGACTTCATCAGTGAATGTCTGTTGATGACCCTCGAGGAGTAAAATTGACAGCAACCGATGTCTTCACACACGTCCACCTCAATCATCGAGGACCCAAAGTATTTAAAATATTTTACCTGGCGGAAAGAGAATAAAACAAGCAACGGGTTAAACTGCTTTATAATATCACGTACTGCATCTGAGTGGAAAATACATGCATAAAATAAGCGGGAGAGCGCACAATTTGAATGCCTACGTGATTTTATAATTTGGGTAAGAAATTAACTGGCTGTGTATTGTTAATTTCCAGCGTAGAGAAAGAAGAACACATACATAAGGAACATAGGTAATAAGGCCGCTGTCTGTCACATTTAACAATTTTACCTTTTGTTTGGGAGCGACAAAAATGTTGGTACTATTGCATTATGTAATTTTTTTTTTACATTAGTTTGCAGGATTTCATCTATAAAACACATTGTTATCCAGTATTAATATTTCCAAGAAAATCCTACTGGCAATTTTAACCTTCATACCAGAATTAGATTATAAACATAACAGCAATTTCATCCGAGAGCCACTTTCTCATATGCCCCCAGATGCTGACAATCTTTTTTTCTTTATATATATAAAACGGCTAACATCTGCAATGGCTTCCTGCCTTTCACGCACAGCATTTAAAACGTCACATTGAAATATAAACGGCTGCAATAAACCCTTTGAAACAAATAGGTTGTGACACGGCTGATAGGAATCGACCAACGGGAGGGGGGAGGGGCGGCTTTACCTTAACGACATTATGCAAGAAAACAAAAAAAAGAAGGCACCGTCCATGTGGTGGCAGGTGACATGAGCAGGCTTTGCCATTAGAAGCCGGGAAGCCATTTGGTCCAAGCGCAGGGAATTGTGTTAATTGACACTCTGATACTCAATTTGGCTGAAATTACATTCCGCAGTCTGGTGAGCGGGGGGGGGGGGGGGGGGGGGGGAAGCCAGCAGGAGACTCTAACATCGTGAACGTGTCACCAAATGAGATTACCTCCTTCATTACGGGCTAGGAACACTATAATGACCTTGGCGGGCCTGAAAATTTACACTGATGGGAAATGCAGTTAGGCATGTAGCTGTAAGTGTATCGTTGCCGAAAATCAATTTTTGGATCATATAATACGGAAATTACTAAATATAAAAAATATATATTTCTGCGTAGTAAGCATACTTTCAGTTAGCGTGTTATTGTTAACAAAATAGTGTTGCGGATCTGGAAAATGTACGACGGTGGGAAATGTGCATGTCGGGCATTCAGAAATCGTGTGTTACGTATACGAGATGTAAATTTTTTAAATCACGAGACAACTTGAATCCTCATCAGTGTGAACTGAAATAAAATTGTAACAATTGGCAATACAATAAAGGGTATTGGGGGGGGGGGGGTGCAGTGATTAGCACCCAACGCGATGGAGCTGGCAACATAAGCGCAGTTCCCAGCCGTGGTGACGTACGGTCACACAACTGGAGGGATGGGGGGGGGCCCGGTCTTCATACAAGCAGTGGATTGACTTCGGGCTGAACATTTTTGATTATTATGAAGGGCATTGGACGATGTTGTTTTTTTTATTTTAAAACTGGAATAATAATTATAATTGAGTCTGTACACACATTCGCTACGCAATTATCGTGGTATTCCACTCGTGCATGCCCGTGTGGTGAACGTGATGATGTGAAGATATATTGCCTCGAAATAACAAAGCGGTGGAATTTGGTTTTATGGGCCACCAGTTACGGATGAATGACAGCTGTAACTTCCAGTGGCCAAGCTTTCCTTAACGTGGACGCCTCGAGCGCTTTGCAGCGTGACATCCAAACTCATTACGCCGCAAATTTCGACGCTTATGCTTTGGATGGGGGGGGGGGCACGTTATCTCCGGTTCACCGGCCTGCCTGACACTGCGCAGTTGTTGTGGCAAGTAACTGGAGCAGAAACATTGGGCCTTCATGCGTGGCTGGAGCAGGCACGGCTCTGGGATCCCTTTGCAGTCGGCTGCATTCGCACCTGCCCGACATCTCCCGACATCTCCCACCCCGACACCACCCCCACCCCCTCACACGTGATTGTGCCAACTATTTTTCAGCAATTAAACAAGGCTGTTGATGGAAAACTAATTGGGCATTTCCAGCAGAGCGTGTGTTATCATTAGCGTCACGATTTTTTTTTTACGTTCTTCATTAACACTGGATGCGCCTTGGCACTGCTCCGTGACACCTTATAAATTTCCATCGCCGCGAAACAAACGCATTCTTGCGAGTAGGGCGAACGCGGGAGGCGTGTAATCAGTTGTCGTTTACCACGTCGAATGTTCCGATTTATTAATGTTAAATATTTACGAAACGCGGACGAGAGATGGGGGGGGGGGCTGCCAAAACGAGACTTAATATTGCACCAACGCTCTCATGCAAATGGCGCAGTACGTAAACACGTGCGTGCTTGCACGCACACGGCGCATGAATATGCACATGGCAGCTGAGAAGCGAGAAGAATAAACAAGCATTTTATTTAAGTTCGTGCTCAAAATTATTTTGGTTACTTAAGGAAATTCCTTTCACTCTTGAGAGTATTTGGCTGCAAAAAATGTCCACATGAGTCACTTCGTTGAGCGATCTGTGGCCAGGTCGCTTCAGAAAAAACAGCTATACTGTATCGCTCAGTGGACCTTACCTGATGAAATAAAAATAAGTTGTTTAGTTTAATAAATCCGCCAGAAAACAGAATTAACCTTTAAATGTGTGTGTTTTCTATCAACAGAGGGTTAAACAAACTTCCCCGTAATCCACGAGTCTCTTCGCAGCATTATTCAAGTAGACACTTTAACAACCCGGCATTTTTCTAAATAGCCAAAATATTTTAGAGCAAGCACTTCCTGCCATGACACAACAACTAAGGGCAAGCACCGAGCCACGAGCAGCCGCTCTTTGGAAGCAGCGGCACGCACGCACAGGGGGTGTGGGTGGGGCCCTGGCGCTGTCACGGAGCCGTTCCCCGTTGAGACACTCGGCTCCCTGCTGCCACTGACCTTGACTTTTTGCGGACGCAAGCCCTCAAGCGCGAGAGCCCTTAAGTGGTGCTGGCACCAACTGCCCTCCATTGTCAAGCGGCGCAAGAGCAAGGGCTGGAGAGGAATTTCCAGCGAAGCTCCATTTGACAGGGCCTGTCAGCGGGGCCCTGTTCATTTTCTTTTTTTTTTAGGTGCCAGTGTTAGCTCTGGCCAGAAAGTTTTTTTTTTTGTTCAAAGCATCAGCCGGCCCCCTTTGCCGGATGTTTGACAGGTGAGACCGTGATTTCTGACAAGTACACCAGATGGAAAAATGAGTCTCGGGTATGGAGCTGCCCCACCGGAGAGAACGTTGCCGACTTGTACTTTGAAAGGTCATTGGATGTCACATCAAGCGACCCAGGGAGCATGCCATAGCACCACACGTAAAAAAAAACTGACAACTGTGTTTAGCTCCAGCACGTCGTCAAGTTTGCAAACGCTGTACGATGTAATGAATAAATAACAAGTTTTTACAAAAAAAAATTAAATCCCCTTTTCATTCCGTATTACATTTGAATGTTTTACCAAAGTGATTATACACTATAGAGCACGTGTGCGCGTACGGGGAAAAACAACCCCACATACAGCCGCAGCAGATATTACATTTCATAGTACACAAGGAATAAAAATATAATTGGATTAAATAGTGCATGTAAATATGCAATGTTTTACAAATGTAATTACGGGCAATATCAAATGGCAGCTCTAATAGTTGAACACGCAACAAAGTGGTATATGATTGCACTCTACAGTTCCGTTCGCATGCACCGTAACCATTATTAACTAAAGAGCTACGCTATGCAATTGATACACAATACAGTTACCGATACTCATCGTGATCATTATGGCAATCATGACCATAACGATCAAGATTATTAACATCCTGAATGCACACGCATCATTGTGTATTGTGTGGTCACGAGCATGCGCGAAGTCCATGGTACAGGGCTGCCACCTGCTGTATATTCTACTGCGGCCACTGCTAAAAAAAACAGGCTGCCTGTAGATCGAAGTGGACATTTCACGGATGGTTTGAGGCTCCATGAAGACCCATGGATTTATTTGTGCAAAGAAAACTCAATTCAATTAATGTGCGCGACTGTGCATAGAGCAATGGGCGAAAAGCTGCACATGTGATTTGCTTGTTCAATCATTGTGGCTTTAAGCGTTAAGCTCAGAATGAAGCAGGCCTTTGTTTACGGAAAGCAATTACTTTATTAAAAAAATATTCATCTGCGGTTACACCCACACGTACTGAACGTGAAATATGCTGTGCACGTTATGTGGGTTTCATAAATTAAACATTACACATATAATGCATTAAAAACTCTATATATGAAAAAAAAATCCACCAGTGAAAATGTTAATCAAATAAATAAAAAGCACGTGCGGAGAGAAGTGACATAATAATCGCACGGCGGCATAAATAGACCCAAACACTCTTGCCAAATGTGCATACCCTGCGACGAAAATTTATGTTTTGCTCAGCTTGTTAGAACAGATTAAAGGCAAATATTAATAATCTAGAGCCAAAGCTCCTCACAGGCTTATGTTAAGCTTCTTTTAGTGAGCATGTGCAACAGGATCGGATTAGGGGGGCCCTGTCATCTGACCAGTGTGCGCTAGGACATAATCCAGCATGTTGTGCTGGCTTTCATCTTGTTGCGTTGCTCAAACACACAAATAGCAAAGTGGATGCACGAGTGAACTCTGGAGTGTGCGAGGTGTATAAAACAAAGCATTACAACAATATAAGAAGAAAAAAATATCGGAAAAATGTGCTCACATTCGTTCATCTACCGTGGCAGTCTGAAAAATGTCAAAAGAGACGAAGAATTGAACCGATGTGGCCCGGATTAAAAGGGCCATGTAAATATTTAATCGCACGCAGCACAAGCTTTGCGTATCAGCA